CATGAAACAAAATATATCAATGGTTTTAAAATATTTGAAACAACACAAATCCAATCCGAGTTGAACAAAGAAAAACTTCTTTTATGTATACGACTTCACGATTTCAATAATCAATAACAAGTCTACTGTAAACGGAAAAAATATCTTGCTTATCTCTTCGACTCTACTACCTTTTTGGGTTACTGTGATGAGTAGAAAAAAAGAATATATTAGTGTTTAATAATTAGATTTTAAAAATTATTACAAACGAAAAACAAATCTTTGTATTTCTTAAGTATTTATTCAATTTGCTTTCAAAACTAAAAGTCGCGTTTCCGGCCGCGTTTCCAAAAAGTTTTCAAATTGGAATATTTAAAAAAAGCATTTTCATAATATTTTCCCGCGTTTTCATCACGTTTCCCCGTGTTTTCATCGCGTTTCTCCATGTTTTTGTTTCTGAAACGTTTCCGAAACGGAAAACGAACCTTGGGTGGAGTTTCCATGAAACCTAGATTGGCACACTCTACCGAGATATTGGTAGAGTTTGTCGAGATATTGGTAGAATTTGTCGAGATATTGGTAGACTAGCAGACTCAGATATAAGTCTACCAATATTTTAGAAGACTTTTAAACCGTCTACTAGAAAAACGCAGATTCTACCGAGATATTTTCAAACTTTGTCGAAACATTGGTAGTCTCTGCCGAAACATTGGCAGACTCTACCGAGATATTGAAACTCTACCAAAACATTGGTAGACTATGCCGAAACATTGATAAACTCTACCAACATATTGGCAGAGCCTGCCAATATCTAGAAATATGCAGACTCTGCCGAAATATTTCAGACTCTGCCGAGATATTGCCGGACTCTGCCGAGATAGTAGCACACTCTGCCAATATCTAGAAAAGCGCATACTCTGCCAAAACATTAGTAGTTTATGCCGAGATATTGGCAGACACTGCCGAAAATCGAACTCTGTCGAGATATTGGTAGACTATACTAAAAAATGCAGGTTTTGTCGAGGCATTGGAAGACTATGCCAAAAAAATGTAGACTTTACAAAAAAAAAAATCATATTTTTTAGATTGTTTTGTATTTTGTTAATAATAGTTTTTAAATTTGGTTTCTATTTTTTACTTAAAATGTTTTCCTTTA